TATATATATTCAGATGTGTATATGTACATATAAGTGAGAGGTCCTATATGAATGATACGATGAGACGAGCTTAAATGGATAGGTGTCCATCTGAATCAATCGCTACATCGCCTGCGGACAACGGTTGTGCGAAGGATGAGCTGAAGAAGTGCTGAATGGAAAACGTTAATGGGATAGTCTAGTAGCTGCATTAAAGTTTAGTATGTATTATGAAGTGACCAGAACCATAACAAACACACATGCATACCGCAATGGGAAACAAGATCCAATATCGATATCGTATATAGCACTCTTTTAGGATGTATAGGGCTTTCTCAGGTATGTGTTGACATGTCTTTGTTTGTGTATATATCACACAAGGGGTTGTATTATAGGTTATTCTCAGCGATAGGGAATGTCGGTAGTACCGCGGTCAGTAGTAGGCCTTGACCGAACACACTACAACACACTGTGCCGGTTGAAATATATAGATATACTATGCCAAACAATATGGTACAGTGCATGGCTGTTATGGGAAATGAGATAGTATAGTGCATGGGATGTATGAGAATTGATATAGTATTGCATGAAAAATAGTATAGTGCATGGGTACTATGAATAGTAATATAGTATAGTGCATGGGTACTATGAATAGTAATATAGTATAGTGCATGGGTACTATGAATAGTAATATAGTATAGTGCATGGGTACTATGAATAGTAATATAGTATAGTGCATGGGTACTATGAAAAAGTATAGTGCGTGGGTGCCATGGGCCGTAAGTGTACTGTACTCCTTTGTTCTGTTGCACGGTATGCTGTGTGAAGGTAAATCAGTCCGTCCCGCGATACATGAGCATAGTGCTCTAGTTTATTTAAAGATATCAAGTCTTTCGCGAGGTAGCGTTTGTATCAAAGCCTGATAGCCGTATGTAGTCTGTGGAGCCAAATGAAGTCATGGTCTGGCCAGGGTTCTTGGCTACGCTCTGTATGGAGGTTGGTACACTCGTGTAGGTGTAGGTATCATCGCGAGTCTTAACATAATTTAGCCTCGGGTATAGTTTAGAGTGTTCTTGTACGGGTGGTTGGTAGTTATCTGCGTGTGGTGCGTGCTTCTCACGCGGCCGCATACTCAGCCGCACGTACGTCGCATGGAAAACGTTCGCAGTGCATATGCTGCACTGTGCTGTGGCGATTGCCTCTCCATCGGTCGTCCCACACCACATATGCTGCGACGGCTGCTGCAGGGTACAGCATGTACTCGTGCAAGGTCTCCCGGTCAACTCATACATAGCAACCGGCAGTGGTCAACTCATGCATAGCAACCAGAAGTGGTCAACTCATGCATAGAAACCAGCAGTGGTCTACTCATGCATAGCAACCAGCAGTGGTCTACTCATGCATAGCAACCAGCAGTGGTCAACTCATGCATA